TTTCACCATAGTCACGAAACTTGCAAGATTTCTTCAAAATTGATTGATTATGGTACCAAGTTATTAGGACTTTGCATAGTAATGTAATTTGTCGAGATCTTAAAAGATTAAACTAAATTAACTTTAATCAAATGAGAAAGAAATTTGGAGAGAAGAAAAATAATCTTAAGAGAGATTAATAATGGGAGAGACTTTTAGAGAGAGATGGAGGAGAGAATAAGAGAGAGAGAAAGGGAGAGAAAATAGATCTCTGTGTGCCTATGAGAAAGAGAGAGAGAGAGAGAGAGTTTGAAGATGAAGAACACAAAGAGATAAAAAGAGAAAAGATATATTTATGAGATTAACTTTCAAAAATTACATTTTATTAGATTTGTGAGATTAACTTTCAAAAATTACATTTATGATTCGAACTTATAAATTGAGAACTTAAATACAAAAATAGTACATTATATTGCCAATCATCACCATAAAACATTGTGTAAGTCATCAGTCAGAAAGGATGCATCTTCTTCGTCGGATGTGTCGAGCGGAGAGAGAGAAGATGAAAAGTCAGGCTGGTTCACCGCGTGAAGAAGTGGTTTGATAGTTCAAAAATCAGTTTGATGCATAGAGTTATAGGGTTTTAAATAGCCCCTCCATGGTGGTGGCACGTGTCCCTTTAGTCTTCCCAGATATTGCCATGTATCCCATAATTATGCAACTGACAATTAAAACCCTTATGGGTTTTACTTCAATGCGGACAGTTGCATCTTTGGAACACTGATGTTTGGATTATGATTTATAATTATGTGATGTATAATCTTGATGAAGACATCTAGAATTTAAGTGATAAAAATTGTGATATTGTTGTTCGATTGTAAAGAGCTATGTAATTGTTTCTATCCATATAAAAGTTCAAGTCACATACTATTAATTATTTGAGTTTAAGTTTTTGAACACCGATGGTACTTGGCCTCGAGGCATTACATACATGGTACTTGGTACAAATGACACATCGTTGGATTATTTTAAGGCAAGATAACATTTGACGCATTTGATGTCAAACCTTAGTCATTGTGAATAGGGATTTGCTCTAAAATTAAAATTTTATTTGTATGAAGGTGGTCTTTAAGGTGACGTACAAGATTTTATTACATATTTTTACGAGTCACCATTTTTTTACTATATAAGAGTCATTGATAGAGAAAATATGAGATATCATATTGTAAATATTACAGAGTTTAAGTTGAAAAGAATTATCAATGACAATATTTAAAAATAAAAATTAGTTTGTAATCAAAACAAAATCACCCTAAATACTTTTAGGTTTATAATTTTAGTATATTCATAGTAATATGTTTCAAAAGTGATATTTTATATTTTTTGGGGAATTTGTCTCATTATTATAATTGACTAATTTTAAAACAATTTCTATTAATTATAAATAATTATATATGAAATAGTAATGTATATATATATTTTTGAGAGTACGTAATATATAAAATATTAATATGCTTAATAGTTATAAATGTTGTTAGGGATATAATTATTATGTCCAACATCCAATTATTCATGTAATATATTGAATACATTTTTATTTGGCAATTTATTTTAATATATGGTAATAATATTTTTATTATCATATTTATTATTTAATTTATATGATAAAATTTTTGATTAAATTTAGAGACTTTACATTAAGATAAAGATCTTGATAATGATAGTAAATTTTTTTTATAGTTTAATGTAAAATATTTTTAATCGTTGAATCATCAAAATATGATATTAATAATCTGATAAGACTAATATATATGTGATGGTCTCTATAAGATAAAAATTAATTGATCTCATTAACTAAATAACATATATATACGATGTATATGAAGATATATATATATATCATACTTTAATTCTGAACACCTGTAGTCATAGAATTATAGTTAAAAAAATATTATGTGTGATTAAATATTTATAGAATTAGTTATTGATTAAAACAGAATCTATCAACTTTGTTAATAAATTTAAACTTTATGTTATCATTTATTATAAGTAATACATTAAAATATTAGAAAGAACAATTGAATGAAACAAAAAAAAAGTTTCTTAAGTAAATAATTGACATGACCATAGTTAGTTAACTATTATGATTTAACAATTAAACCATATTTTAATGTTAACTCATAACAATAATGACAAAAGAAAATATTATATCATTTTTTAACGGGTTCTTAAGAGTAATTATATATTTCATGCTATTTAGTTGTTAAGAAGTATTGTTAGACGCTAATCTTAATTAGTAAATTAGTTTGATCATTAATATGTGTGACTATTATAATAATCAAAATTATTTTAAAATTAATTTGATTTATAAAATTGTTTTATTAAATAATAATAAGAATAGAATGCAACATATATATATATATAGGATATATATATAATTGGGTGTTGAAATGAAAAAAAAAGGGAGTCCAAATTGGTTTAGATTAATACAGAAAGTTGGACTTGACAATTTTATATATATATATATATATATATATATATGAATGATAAATATATATTATGAGTGGATTGTAAAAACCCAAAAAGAGAAAAATAAAATCTCTTTTAGCCACACTTATGCTAAAAGAAAAGAGAAAATTTGACTAAATTTTTTCTTTCTAATTCTCTTAAACATAAATATTATTTAATTTATTCACGTATTTTATTAATTAAAATTGATGTAAATATGCATAAAATTTTTATATTTTAAAAAATTTTAATTTAAAAATCTACTATCAAATATATTTTAAATTTAATTTTTAACATAAAATATAATTTTTTAAATACAAAAAAATTATATTAAATTATTTTATATTTTTTTATTAATCTTACATAAATTTAATTGTTTATTTCTTTTAATTAAATAAATAACTACTCATTTTTTAATTTTATTTAAATGAAAAGAAAAAATTAGATTAAAATGAATGGTAAAAAATATGTTAAAAGACGAAAATAAAAAAATAACCATGACTTAAGTTTGCCACGTGGCGAACGCAGAGCTCTCACTTTATTTGAAGTTTACAACGGAGCCGTTAACACTTTCTGTCAAGGTGGCGCGTACCATTAACCGGCTCATTTAAACCCGCCTTCAACTGCCACGTGTCCTCACTGGTAATACAATTTCTCGTCCTTTCTCTGTCGACTCCCGCCAACCTCGCCCTCCCTCTAAATTTTCTCCGTCTCTTCTTCCTCTCCAAAATAGAAACCATCTTTCTGTTTTCAATTTATCAAGAACCTAAAAAATCTTTTTCCTGATTCTTGTATTCTGAGATATACCTCCCACTACGGTTCTTTGATGTTTTCTTGAGAAATTGCTTTTCTGGAGATGTTTTGTGTACATCATCCGAGTGAAATTCTTGGGTTCTAGTTATCCCTCGAAAATGGTTTAGAGTCACGGTTTGGGTTTTTTTCTTTCTCCAAGAAAGTGGGGATTCTGCAAGATTGGTGAACAATCTTAATTTTCGTTGAGTTCACTGGTTGTTCTTGAGGAAATACAGAGATGTTAAGCAGTTCTGATACGATAAGGAAAACCCCGCCCGGGATTTTGCTCCTAAAAAGAACTAGAGGCAAGGATTGGAGCTTGAATACATATAGATACGTCGTTTTGTTGGTTACTTTTATAGCCTATACATGTTATCATGCATCTAGGAAGCCCAGTAGCATAGTCAAGAGTGTATTGGATCCTGAACCCAACAAGCACCCTGCGAACTACCCTTGGCCTCTTGGAGACGTGTTTCTTAAGCAAGAATCCACGAGTTTTGGTCAAAATAGAGTGCAAGATAAGGGATGGTATCCATTCAATGGACCTGATGGCACTTCAAAATTGGGGGAAATCGATGTTGCATTTCTTGCTTGTTACTCTTTAGGAATGTATGTTGCTGGACATTTAGCTGATTCATTGGATCTTAGATTGTTTTTGACATCTGGGATGATAGGAAGTGGCCTTTTTGTTGGGATATTTGGGATGGGATATTTGTGGAATATCCATGTATTCTGGTTCTATCTTCTTATGCAAATGCTTGCTGGGCTGTTTCAAGCAACTGGCTGGCCTTCTGTTGTGGCTGTTATTGGCAATTGGTTTGGAAAAAGGAAGAGGGGTTTGATAATGGGTGTTTGGAATGCACATACTTCGGTTGGGAACATTTGTGGGTCTCTTCTTGCTGCTAGCGTATTGGAATATGGTTGGGGATGGTCTTTTATATTTCCAGGTGCATTGATCATTTTAGGAGGAATTCTAGTCTACTTATTCCTTCCTGCTTATCCGGAGGATGTTGGATTTCCTTGTGCAAATATCTCAGGTCCATGTCCAGAAGAAGCAACTAATGATCAAGAGGCTCAAATTCCAAATAATGTTGTGGAAGCAGAAAACAACTCAATCTCCCGACAAGGAGGATCAGGGAGTAGGAGAAGTATTGGACTTCGTGAAGCTTGTTTGATACAGGAGTTATACCATTTGCACTGTGCCTTTTCTTCTCGAAGCTTGTGGCTTACACATTTTTGTACTGGTTACCATTTTATCTTACTCAGACAGGTACTTTCTGATTCATGTTGATTCACGACTTTCTTGATGAAGAAGCACATTATGTAATGTAGCTTAGAAACTTCTAATTATTTACATTGCGATTTTTACCTGTCAAATTTTGTGCCATCATTTGATAGTATATACCATTTCTACTAACAAAGAAAATTTGCAACCAATCAAGAATCCTGTTACACCGACAAATAATTAGAGTGAACCTTATTTTTGTTTTCTCTCAAGGCTAGAATATCATTCTTGAACAAACTGTTAATAATTTAGTTTTATTTAAGAACTGACTTGAAACAGTTGATCTTCTAAGGACTAGTTTTAAGTTGCCTCCATAAAAGAAAGTGACAGATGCATAATTTATTGCATCTGCGTTGGTGCTTTTTAAGTGTTTGATGCTGAATCATTAAATTTATGCAGCTTTTATGAGATCATTTTAAGGCTGAAATTATTATCATCATCTTATCTGGTAGTGAAAATTGGCTGTCAAGTGGCCTGCAATTTCTTCTTCACCTTCAGAAGCCTGTTCTTTATTTCTCTAGTCTTTTGCATTTGATATGTCAATGGTGTTGTCATGCAATGAGACATGGTTTGGGATTGTTCTTACAGTTGACTCTTCTATGAAGGATTGATCACCATAGTATTTGAACTAGATCAACGTAGCTATTTTGATTGCTTGGTATGACGGATAGTATAAGGCTTTGGTTGAAGTACAAAGAACACTGCAGTTTTCGGCTGTAAAATACAAGTGATTCTGTTGGTACGCTGATAATGGTTCCATCTAAATGTAACTGAAATTTTTTTTTTCTTATTTTAATCTTTGAAATTAACTTTAAAATTACTATGGTTGTGGGAAAACAAGTTTAAATTTTCTATGGTTATTTTTGTTTCCAATTATTTCGATTCAGGACACAATCTTTTGCAGTTGTCTTAATATTCTGCCAGCTATTTCTCATCCTGCAAACATTTTTGCTTCTCTTATCTTCCTTGAGCATCTAGCATAAATTTGTCTCATCTTATTTAATTATTCTTTCTTGTAGAAATTGGTGGAAAGTACATGTCTGTGAAGTCTGCTGGAAATCTCTCTACTCTGTTTGATGTAGGGGGCATTGTTGGTGGGATCCTTGCCGGGTACATATCTGATAAACTTAGGGCTCGGGCTATTACTGCAGCTAGCTTTATGTATGCTGCAATTCCTTCCCTGCTTTTATACCACGCATATGGGAGTGTTTCAGAAACTATGAACATCATCCTTATGATTATTGCTGGCTTATTTGTAAATGGGCCATACGCCCTAATCACAACTGCAGTTTCTGCAGACCTTGGCACTCACAGGTCTCTTAGAGGGGATTCTCGAGCACTCGCAACCGTGACTGCCATTATTGATGGTACTGGATCAGTTGGTGCAGCATTTGGTCCTCTTCTTACTGGATTTCTTTCAACAAAGGGTTGGCATGCTGTTTTTTGGATGCTAATGCTTGGTGCACTTTTTGCGGGACTTCTTCTATCAAGACAGGTTTATAAAGAAATTACTGAAAAAATTAGTAGACCAAATTCAACATGCGAACAAGAGCAAAATCCTGAAGGTAATGTTATGATCTACATTTTACATTCAAGCGAAGGAATAACAGAATTGGATGACCAATTTCAGTTACCCCAAAAACTGGAGTTACTGCAAAAGAATCATAATTTCTGATTTATATTCTAACATGTGGCCACGCATATAAGCTCATTAGGATTGAAAACATTAAGAAAATATTTAGGTCCACTGTAGCTTATGCTAGAATTGTATTTTCTAAAATAGAAATTAAGTATTCAGAAATCAAACTTTTGATTTTGGCTCAATGTCATATGAGATACTAGAGTTCGATGACAAACCAGCTTTATAGCTTAAGATGATGAGAAAAAAATTCAATATATTAGTTATGTCGTATTTTTCTACAGTACCCCCACTTGGAAGTGGGAGTTTGAGTTTATTGCACTCAATTTTGAAGAAGGGACAAAAGCCTAATACTGACTAGCCAAAAAAACATTTGGCAGACTTTGGATGGCTCAAGCCCAACAATGAGCAGAGGATGGATAAGCCATAATAATAGGGAGGTGATCACCAGGGTTTCAATGGATTACCTTCTAGTTTCAGTACCATGTGAAATAATAAAATTTGATGACCAATACTTTTAAAAGCTTCAATTTAATAGAGAAAGACAGCTTTTGTAATTTACACTTCGACACAATCCTTTGTTTACACATTTATCTGGTGGATAAAAGATCATCTAGTTGGTTAGTGACTGAAAAGAGGATAGCGGATGATATGAAACTGAATAATATTCAGAGATCATTAAAAGTATATATTCAATCCACCAGGACATTAGGAACGGAATAGTTAGTTGTGTGCATTATCCAATGTTACTCATTTATGAGACTTGCCGTACTTGAAGTCTTCTTTTTTGTTTTTTTGAAAAAAGATGAACTTTGAGAACAGCTAATTTGAGAAATAAAAGGGAAAGACACTCCAGTGTATTGGAAGAGCAAAATAAGAAGTTCATTGTTTATATCATTTCCTTCTTTTTTCTGAAAAAATGTTTGAGAGTTACAGAGACATTAGAAAGCCTGTGTTTCTCTTTTTTCTTCAATCACGCATGCTCATGGTGTTACTAACAGGATTTCTCCCTGGCTTAAAATGTGATCAAAAGGATACCTCTAGCTTGGAATTCGCGAATTATTAAGCCTGCTCATTTTGGGAAATTATGGAACCTTCTACATGAGATTTAGGACTAATTGTTGGGTCAAGTTGAATGCTCAAGTAGCAAAAGTAACATTTCATTAACAATATGAAACTTTTCATAAATGAAAAGGGAGGAACTTGTGATGCAATATTTTGGCAAGTTTTCCCTAAGAGAGAAACTTGGAAGAAAGTTTTCATAAAGGTACAAGAAAGAAACATTTTTCACACTGTGGGGTGCTTATGTCCTATTGAAATTTCGTTACCTCATATCCTTTTAGGGATCCTTATGTCCTTCTATAGAAGGCAAGAGATGTTCAAAACATGCACGTATTGCTATATCATGGGAGAAATGTGCTGTGAAATGGGAAGTGTGATCCAAAGGGCTGTGAAATGTGCATTGGAAATGAGGGAGGACATGTCGGTGATCTTGGAAAACATATGCTGGCAGGATACTCTTATTGACCGAATTAGAAACTTTTACCAAATTTTATTTTTCCTCTCTTATAATTTATTGGCTTCATGGTTATTGTCTTAAGTTACATTGTTAGTATCGCATCTGCTTCTCTGCAATGATTCTAATGATAGCATGCGTTGACATCTCTTTTTACCTCACATACATTTGAATGATTTGATTTGTGGAGTTGATGTTTCCTTGCAGCTTCTGCATCTCAACCTCTGTTGAGTGATCAAAGGTGATAATTCTAAGGTATGACCTCACAGAGAGATCCAAAAGGGAAAATGAGACAAGTTCCTAGAAGCCGATGTAATACTGTAAGAAATAGCAGAGAAGAGATATGAAACCCATTTATTCCGTGAAATTTTGTGCTTACTCCAGTTTCTGTACCAAATATAGATACGCTAAAACCACCATCTACTGATTTTGCATTTGACTGCATAAACACTAGTGATTTTCATTGGTCTTTGTAGTTTGATTAGTGGAGAGATTTTTGGTATCTGCAATCTGCATGTATCATTTTTGAGTAAATCACGTAAAGATTCTTAATTTTGGAGAAAGATGAGCATGTCGTTTCTGAAAGCTCCAAAATCAATCGCTTTTATGTGGGCTGTAATTATCTGTCAATTTATTGTTGGTATGCTCTCATCAACATCAAAAAATATTATTCAATTTTATATTTAATATAAAAATATTTATTTATTGAAGGGTTTTTAAATATTAACATAAAATTTAATTACAAAATATGTAATAGATAACTTTTAAATATACCATGATAATATAGATAAATTTTTTAGGTATAAAAATAAATTTTAATTTTTAATTAATTATAAATTACATGTTAACTATTTCTTATATATAGATAAGATAATTTTTTAAAATTCTTTCTAATTATTGTTTGAATAAAATAATAATTATATGTTACATAATTATAGAAAATTATTTCTCTAATCTTATTTTATTAACAAGTAGTTATACGATATAACTGATTAAAAAATTAAATTTTATTTTTACATTTAAAATTTTAAATAAATCAATATTATATATTATTTAAATTATTTTTATATTTAATTTTTTTTTTTTAAATAATATGTCTGGCTTTCTTGCATTTAAATTGAGGTTTTGGAATCTAGCTAAAAGACATATAATTTATATTTATATACAAAATTATATTATATGTAATCGGTCCAAAATTTGAATTTAAATGATTACTGGAGGAACAAATTTTTTTAAGATGTCAACGTCACAATTAACTGTCATCGCATGAGCAAATCACGTGGTTGACTTTTGGCCCATTGACTTTGAAAATGATAGTATAATCATTTTAAAAATATAAATATATAATTATGATTATAAATATCTTTTTTATTATTAAAATATTTTCTTATCATCCATAAGTATCATAATTTTCGACACATAAGGAATCGGTCAATTCCTTAATCTATTGATGAAGAGATTAAAAAATTAGACTGAAAATAAAAAATAATAATTTTTAAATTTTATCTTTTATTAATTTTTTTAATTAATAAATTAAAAAATCAGCCTATTTCATGCATAAATTAAAAAATGGTTTGATATATATTTTTATTATTAAAATAAAATTTCTCAGAAAATATTTATGAAATTGTGATAAATTTAATCACAACTTAAGATTTTTTAATACTTCAACAATGGAGGACAATGCTTAGCAGAAAATTATGAAAAATCTTATAAAATTATAATTCTTAGCAAAATGAGTAAACTTAATAAGCTAAATAGCTAACTATTTGAGAAGTATTTACTTTAGCATTTGAAAAAGATATAGGTATAAAGTTCTTGTACCTTAGTATATTTACGATGTATTTGACAATGGTTATAATTTGTCTTATAAATTTAAAATTGTTGCTAAATTAATTGTAGAATAAAAATTAACTATCTTTTTAATTTTAATAATATTTGAATTTTTAATAATTGAATATCTAACTACATAAGATAGTGTTGGTGGTGATCCACAAATGGGAAGAGAAGGTTGCTAGAGGTGGACAAAGGTAACTTACAGGCAACGGTAGGTGGTAAGAGTGGTAGACAATGGACGATAGGTGGTTGATGGAGGATGGCCAATAAAGGGTAGAGGATGAAAAGCGGAGGGCGACAACGGGGCGGTTGACGAAAAATAGAAGGTGGTCAGTTGGCAATGGGTGAAGAGTAAAGGGCAACAGATAACGGGGGGCCAGCTGGTGAAGGATAAAAGCCAGAGAGTAGGCAATCGACGGAAGGCAATTAGTGGTTGGTCAAATAGTAATAGAGAACAACCCATTGGCACAGACAATGGTCAGCTAACTGCAGAGGATGACTAGCTGTTAAAAGTGGTGGTCAATTAGTTATGGAGAGCAGCAATCAGAAACTAGATAGCGGAAGGCGATGGTTAATTGATAGTAGATAGCAACGAACAACAACCAACTGGCAGCAACAGACGATGGACATCAGATGATTAGTAGTAACGATTAGATAAAGTGAAAAGAACAAAAATATGTAATGGCTTCAACTGTCAACAATTTTTCTTCTTACATTACCGTTAGTTAACTGAAAAAATTATGTAATTTTTTCAGTTAACTAAGGGTAATGGACGAAGAAAAATTGTTGACAGTTGAAACCATTTTTTAAAAAGTAATACCTTTAAGTTTTGTGTTTGAACTTATCAAAAAATAGATTTTACCTTTATCTTTAACAAAAAAAAAAAAAAAAAAAACTTTTGCTTTTATGCATTTGGTTGAAAGAATTTTCCAAAAGTAGAAGCCATAACCAAAAGCTGCAGTCAAATACGCACCTGAAATTATGACAATCTTTACCATAGATAATTAACAGTAGACCAATAAGTTTATATTTGAAAATTTTGTTAATCTAAAATAGATGTCTTAAAATAGAAACTATGAGCCTCCAACATTTTTTAGTCATCGAATATATATGGAACATTAGTTATCTCTTTTTGTAATTTTCTTTAATTGTCAAATGAGAAAATATATTTTTCATTTGATTCAAACTTGACTTTTGCTTACCTTTTGTGAAAGTAGATGATATTAGAAAAGTTCAAAATATTCTATAAGCTCATGTACTATTCGATTTTTTAGTTTAAACTCTTATACTTTTTAATCTATTTTAGCATTTTACTTTTGAACTTTCGTTAATTCAACGCTTAGTTATAACTTTCATTTGGCTACAAGTAAATCTAGGACACATAGCCAATGACATGTCAAAGTCACGATATATCATCAATTATATAGTGCATGACATGAAAGTCACATCAGATTAAAAATCACATAATTCCTCTATTTACCATAAGGCCCTTTTCTTATTGCCATCCTCTTCTTCTGAGCCCCTCCTTCATTCAAACAAATAATATCATAAAAATCAACTCGAGTAATGGAGTCCTTGCATTTTCTTTTATATATCTCCATTTATCATCTTTTTAATTTCTCAAGACATTCCCTTATTTTTAATTGTTCTTTTTCTTTACTATAGGATTATTCAATAATATGAAGATTGTAACACCCAAAATAATTTTTTCTATTTTATTTTTTTGATTTAATTTAATTTAAATTAATTTTTGTGAATATAAAAATATTAATAATGATAAAATTAGGTAAAAATATTATTTGGATTTAATTAAAATTGATTTTGGAAAAAATGGGTGAAAATTTGGATTCTGGGGGTATTTTTGAAAAGAAATTCGGAAATCGGGAGTCAAAACACAATTTAGAAAAATTGTGCCCCGTCAGCGCCACGTCAGCAGCCACGTCAGCGGCCCAGTCAGCAGCCTTGGCCAACCAGGACCTGCCGTGTGACAAGGCCACGCCGACCCGGGAACAGGCCACGTGGGCGATCCTCGTGCGCGCGATCGGACGGCCCAGATGCGTCCCCGCGCGCACAGACGGCCCAGATCAAGCGTACGCATGAACGGCCCAGATGCACGCACACGGACGACCCAGATTCAATCAAGTACGGACGGCCCAGATTTAATCGAGATGGACGGCCCAGATTTAATCCAAATTAAATCGCGATCAAACGGTCCAGATTAAATCAAGATGGACGGCTGTGATTAAAAGACAAATGGTATAAATAAACCCCCCACACCTGACCACAAAAACCCTAGCCGCCAGCCCTCGCCGGAGAAGACGAACCAGACGCCGGAGGAGCCACCCGCCGCCTCACCGGGGAGTTTTCCGACTGCCGATCGAGGTAAATTTCATACCCCCGGCTCGTTTTTCAATGCTGAGTTCCCCTGTGGCCAAATCAGAGCCAAACTCCTAGCCAAACGGCTGGAAAACACGGCCAAAATCCAGCGGCGCCGCCATGCCCCTCCTCGGTTTTTGCCTCCCATGAGGCCCTTCTCGGCCTCCGTTTGATACAATTTTTATATCACCGTAATCACCATTCTTTTCTCTACAAGTTAATCGAAGCCAAATCACCAAAACACGAACCACGCCGGAGAGCCGCCGCACCTGAGAGCACTGCCGCCGGTAAGCTTCAGTTTTTCGTAATTTTTTGGCCCCCCGAGGGCCCTGGGGTTGTTTTATCGCAGGGACCGATGTAAGTGTGGCCGAATTCGGCCAACCCGAAGTGAATCGCCGCCGCAAGTGGCGGCGCCATGCCAGAATTGCGATATTGGCCGAAAGGGGCCCTAGGTCTGATTCTGAGATTTTTGGGACACGTGCAGGTACTGGTAGCGTATTTCAGTTTTTTGGAAAAAAATTCAGGAAATTTAGGGATAACCCGCAAGCGCTCGGAAAAGCCTATTTCGGGTCTCGAAAACAAGTAAGGATTTCTCACCCTATTTTCTATCACGGTATTAAAGTGCAATAAATGATAAAATAGTATTTCATGAATCAATAGCTGTGTGAAATTGTTTAAGGTTGCTAATGGAGCCCGAGTCTAGTGTATTTGTCGGTCAGTTGTTGTTTGTTCTATTTTACAGTTTTAAATGTAGTATGATGTCTGATGTTTTTATTTCATAGTTTCGTGTGCATGTATCACTGTTTCATTGATTATGGACTGAATGACTGAGAACCCGATGTTGTGTGTTGTCTTGTTGGCATGAACTACTAGTTTGCATGTTTGTGTGTGACTTGATGATGGTGACTAAAGAAAAAGGGATAAAAGGTTATGTGAATTGGTAAACGGATAATGTGGACAGCCTGACTAGGTATCCTGGGAGATGGTGGACGGACCGGGTCCGTAGGAAACCCTACCGGGAACGTGGTCTCTCATACCAGACGGGGTATGGAGACCTTATGTGTTTTGG